AACTAAAAAATCCCCTCGTGTTTTTAGCAATGCATCTGTGGATTTCCACACACCTGGACCAGTATAGATAAAATAGGTTCCAAAGAATCAACATAAAAGACAGGAGGAAAAATAGAAAAGGGTAATGCAAGATCTATGGAATTCTAGCTCTTTAGACACATCCTTGTGACTGTAATTCTGTTTTCAGAGATGCTTTCCACGGGGTTCAAAGCTGGAGCTAATCCTATTTTGCATATTCTATTAGACAGAGGGACCATGGAAGAAGCTCCATGGTACATCCAATTTTCCAAGAAGCCAGAAAATATTGTGTTGGAACAGAGAGAACAGGGGATCTGTAAGATGCAGAAATGATTTTTAGAAAACAGGCAGATTACTTGGAAGAAGCAAGGTTGAAAAATACATCTGGGGAAATCTAATTAGGACGAAAAAAAAGTAATCTGAAAGTAATTTTTATTTAATGAGGAAAGAAGACAAAAAAATGATGCTAAACTTCCTGTGCAGACATTGGACAAAGTATGGCAGTGTCCATGCTGGATTTGCTCAGCAAATTTCTGTATTTGGTTAAATAAATGCAATGTCTTGAGAAGCACAAGGATGGGTAAAAACAGCAGCTCATATATCACCCATCCATGTCAATAGTTACCTTATGAATGTGTGGCATGGTCTCACATACTTGGTTTTTCACTGGAATGCGTTTTGAATACAACAGGACATACTGTCCAATCAGCATTTTATAATTACTTTACAAATTTCATAAATACTTCAATGCTGACTAACCCAGAGATCAGCTTGGTCAATGGATTTCATGAGAGTGGCTGGCAAAATTCCCTTTCACTTCCTAGGAAGCAATGGGACATGTTTGTTGGGTAAGAGCAAAGTTATCTTAATTTTTACTCTTCTGTGAATAGAAAAGTACCAAACTTCAATATCTCATGCTTCACACAGATGAAATTCCCTCAGAACTGCCCATGCTGTTAATTCAGTTCAGGACTGCAGGCATCTCCACAGGCACAACTGTACTGACAGCTGCACCTGCTAAGGATGAAAATGACAGTAAGAAGGGAGGAAAATAAAGAGAAAGAATTCAGATACAAAGGAAGAAGGGCAAGAGAGATAAATGACTTGATTAATTTTGTGCATTTCATTTATGTGTAAATCACCTCCAGCTACTGTTCCCTTTGCTTTGTGAGCCTGAGGTGCTACACACATGAATCGATTTTGAAGTTAAAAAATAGGGAAATAAAGAGCTGCACAATCAGTGTTTTGATAAGTTTCCTTTTAACTCCAAACTCTTGTTTTTAGATGCTAACAAAACAAAGAAACAAAGCCTTAGTGCTCAAAACCCACTTGCCTGATCTGAAAAGCAATTCTACATTCCCCACCTCATCCAGCAAGACTGTTAAAATATTTAATACTGTATTTGTCATCACACAATAAAAAAGACCATATTTACTAAGGAGCGAACATTCTTTTTGGAGTTACTGAACCTGCCAATTTTTGATGGCAAGAACAAAGAATGAAGCAAATCCAAAAGTATGTCTGGACCAACTTTAGAGATCTTGTCTGACCTATGCAGAGGACATAAGGAAGGTTTTTCACGTAGTTTTGCTGACTCCAACTGCTGCCATGTACTTCCCATATAAAAATATTGTTTTGATTGATAAGTGATGGGAGTCAGTGCAGCAGAACTCTGCATTCCCTCAGAGCATGGGTGTCACTGCTTGCAGTGTGCTCACAGCTCCCTGTGCTCTTCCCTGACTGCACCCTGAGCATCTCTGGGAGCCTGGAGCACCCAGAGGCTTGGGAACAAACCCAGAGTTCTGCCAAACCAGCACATCAGCCACCACGTGCAACGTGCTCTCTGCACCTGCACATCTGGGAATGGCTTCACAGCCTCCCCTCAAAAATCTCCCTCAGTACTTTTTCCAAGAGGCAATGGCAGCTTGCACGTGCCAGCCACTTGAATTACAGCAGCTTATCAAAAAATCCATCCCACCTCTAAACATCCCTACAATTTGGCCATCCTTTCCGATTTTATTCCATGCTGTTCCCAACATCTGTCACAGTCCATGGTGCAAACAGGAGCATTTCAGGGACTTAAGGACTCCCTCCATTCTCCCTCCATAAATAAAAGATGTGTAGGTTGCATTACACAAATGTGGGTTACATTACACAAATGTGGGTTTCAATTGCAAAAGGAGAAAAAAACAAACCAAAAAAAACCCCTCAAGTCTTGGTCTTCCTTTCCAAGTAAAGCTCAGATAGAAAAGTGAAGCAAATGGAAGCCCAATAAGTGGGAATAGTGACTTTAGGGAATTTTGATGCCAAAATGTGGCCATTATGAATACAGGTTTTCTCGTATTGACCTGGTAAAGAGAGTTAAAAACATAAACAGAGAGAGACTTAAAAATCAGAACAAGTTGGTTTTTGGTTTGGATTTTTTTTTTTTCTGTGCTGACAGACAGGTTTGCCAAAATCCAACTCATCCCTGCTTCTGCTAGTAGCACAGCTGCAGTTCCACAAAGAAGAGTGGCTTCAGCCACAATCTCTTTTCCAAAAATGACTGTCCTTTTTAGAGCAGATTTGCAGGGAAGTGATTGGTGCTGTACTGCTGCCTGCAGACACAAGGGCTCTCCTCATCAGCTGACCAGAGCTGCCCCATAAAGGTGATGGGGGCAGGAATCCTGCAGGCAGTGCTTGTTCATCTCCAGATCAGCCTCCTCCCAGGCCACAGCCACAAAGGGAAGAAATTCCTCTCTTTCCTCTCCAGGAAGAAATCCCAACAAGAATTTAAGAGTCAGATCACACAACTTTACCCCCTCATGCACAGTTCAGTGGGGTTTCAATATGAGGGATCTTGTAAGAGAGGGAGTTATACAGAAGAGGTGGAAGGGGAAGAAAACAAAGCTGAAATAATTCAGAACCTCCTCAGTAAGAAGGTTCTAAATGGTTCTCAGAACCATCTCCTTCTCCTAAACATAATTTACTTCTTATTGATATTTATTTTGAGAGCTGGGGAGGAATCTTTCTCCCTGGAGCTCTTTATATCAGGCCCCTATCCTCACAGCCAGCTCTCAGAAACACGCACCTCATTTTGCATGGCTGTAGTAGTTTATCCTCTGTAAGGATGACAGGGCAATAAACCACTGCAAAGCACTCAAGGCTTTGTGGCTGACATACACAGCATATGGAATACACCTTGAAATGTAATGACACTAACAAACCCAGTTTTAATCTCTGAGGAAAACTGGACTGGTCAGTGTATTGGACCTGAGGAAGACAGACCAGCCAGCTCAGCTAATGCTCTCTGCTTCTTTTTTGTGATACAAATTGCATATTGCTCTAAAAATGAGCCTGACCAGAGCAGAGGCTCCTCTGGACCTCTGAGAGTCCCCAGTGTTTCAGCCACAGTCCAAAATGAGCAGCTGCCTGTTGATGCAACCCCTCACGCTGGAAAAACAGGTGATAATGAATTCTTGAAGCATATGCAAGCATTAAGCAACCACTCCGTGAATTGTCAGCAGCTGCTTCAAGAGCCCTGCCCTGCCTGCCACAGGTATTTATTTATTTAAAGCATGGTACCCACCCTGATGTGAAACACATGCACAGATTTATGCACTGCCCTGAGTCCCTTATGGCTCCTGAGCCAGCCCCTGCCAGCAATTGCTTTGGGAATTTCAAAGCTGGCCACTGGGAAGCCTCCCATTGTATGAAGGGAAGCAAACAAAAAAAGAAGGACCCCAAGTGAAATAACAGGGTCTAATTTCCTTGTCATTTTATAGACAGATCCTTCAAGAGAATGTCATATATCTGTCTTAGTTTCCAACACTTCTAGTATTTTCTAATGTGCATTCTGCTCACACAATTAGATGACATTCAGCCTCCATCCCAGCAGGCAGAACTCCCCCACATTCTCACCACAACTGAACCACTTCAGGAATTTTCACTTACAATATGGTTTTATCACCTCAGCCTTGAAGGAATGTGGCACTGGAACATTTTCCCTCATTGGTCAGTTGGTGCCATCTATGTTTTTGGGATTACTTAGGAAGATTCCACCCCTGCAGACCATTCTTTGGCATTGTTTGATATAGTTTAGCTTTTCCCTGTGCTCTGCTGTTGTCTCAGCCATCACTGCCTCCTCTGATACAGAAAAGAGAGGGACAGCATGCAAAGAAGTTCTGAGGTTACAGAGGAAGCAGTGACATGACTAGATAAAGCAAATCACCTGCTCTAAGATCATAATTATCATGAATTAACTGCATCTCAAACTAGGAATTCAAACAGCAAAGTAGAAGCTCATTAAAAAAGAAAAAAAAAAAAAGTCTAAACTTTATTAAAGCAGTTATTGCTAGGTTTGGAAAATAAAAATAAATAAAACCAAAAAAGCAGCTCTGAGGCTCCACAAATCCCAGCTCAGAAGAATTCACATCTGAAACAACTCCATGTCATTAGAAACACTGAATAACACGGTGATCAAAGGTACTGTCAGTGCAATTATATTGTACAGGAGGATAAGAGGGAGGCCCAGACAACTAACTGTGAGTAATTGGGTTACTCCTTAGGCTTGTTTTTAAACACTGCACTACACCATGTGAATGCTGCAGGTCTCATTTAACTGGGTCACCAAAACTGAGGCAAAAGTCTCCTAACTTAAGGCTAGGAAGTGCAATTTGTATGCCTGACTTCAGGCTACGAGGTGAGAACGCTGGGAAGCAAACCCACACAGGTATGGACAGGAACCTGGCCCAGCAGAGGGAACAGCTCAGAACTCTGCTCCTCAGCTTTCAGGACCTCTCTGTCCTTACAAATATATATATATATATATTTCCACATAATCCACATTTAGAAGCAACATATATTTAAGATAAAGTTAAGAACAGGGTAAGAGACATGCCCTCCCAAACTGCCCAGACAACGGGCACCTGCCTGGAAAATTGCAGCCCTCTCCAGCCCTGGGCTCCTGCCAAGCATTTCACGAAGTAATTCAAAGTAAATACCTTTCAGAGGGTAATCCTGCCACAGCCATGTCTTGAAGTTCACTGAGGTCAAGGTTCTTAGGCTCAGTTAATGCAGGAGGTGATAGCTTTCCTTTGGCATCCTGGAGGGAGCTTTCGTGTTCCGAATTCATCTTGCTTGGCTGATTTTCAGCAACAACAAGACCTGCACGTGCAGAATCCTTGCCCTGCTCCATCACAGGGAGGGCTGGAGAGTGATTTTTGTCCAGGTCTGCCTGCTGCTCCTCAGTGCTCGTGTTTATAGGTAGGTGTCCCTCAGCAGTGACTAACATCCTTGCAGTACCAGTTTCAGGGATGTCTCCACTTTTTTCATGACCTGTCCTTGCTGTGCTTAACACTGTGTCACTGTTCTCTTTCACATCTCCCTCAGTCATACTGCCAGACTCTAGTTTACAGTCAGTTTGCAAGCAATCATCCTGGCTTACTTCGCTTTTTAAGTAATTTATTAACCCATCCATGGCCACTTTCTTTCCTTGCTGTGCATCTTGAGACTCTCCCGGTGTTTCCAAGCATTTCCCATTTACTGCTGCGTCCTGTATCAGCTGCATGTCACTCTGCGACCTAAAATCATGCACAGAATTGCTGTGAATGTTTGCCTCCTGTTTTCCCTCAGGTGACACACTGAAATTGCCTGGCAATTCTCCGTGGTTGTAAGATCCTCCCGGGACAAGCGTTGAAGCTGCCGTGTCAGAGATGCTCTTGGCAACGTCTGCATCACCGTACTCACTTTTCTCCTGTTCATTTGGCTCGGGATCCTGGCACTGTGCAGCAGGAAGACTTACATCCTCTTCAGAGGGAACTGGTTCTGCATTGCACTCTGTAATTAAGTTATTTCCCTCTGTGGCAGCAGCATCTTCTACGTGCCTCCCCTGAACATCGCCTGCAGAGAGAGCAGCTCCGGTGAGCTGCTGCTGGCTGTCGGGACACGCAGGGAAGTTCTCAGCTGCTGCCCCATCAAATGAAGCTGGTCCTTGCTTCTTTATCTCTAAGCTTATTAGTGATTCAGGATCAACGCCACCAGCACACACGCCCTCCTCTCTTTCCATCTCACTGCTCTCAGTGGGTTTGCCTGGCTTTTGCAGATTTTCCGGAGCTTGTTCGGCAGATGGAGCGCCATCCAAGCCAGGGACCACTTCTAAACAGCCACAGGGCTGCCTGCTTTCCTCAGGGTCCTGGAGACTTGCAGGTGGCAGCTCTGCCCCTGGGTTTTCTTGTTGCAGAGATCTGCCCTCGGCAGCTTTGCAGGAAATCTCAGTAGCTAAAGACAACTCTTGCCCCTCTGCTGCTGAGGTGCCCTCGGGAGCTCCTTCGCCCGCCTCGTTTGGTTCTGAAAAGTTCTCAGCACCACAGAGTTCTGCTGTGTCCTTGGCCACTGGACTCTGCTTGAAGCCTGCATGGTTTTCAGTCAGAAGTTGGGGTAATTCAGCACTCAGTGTGCTGTGGACAGTTTTTTTAAAAATCTGGCTGATGTGCTCCCTGAAGTCTGGGATGCTGGAGCCAATGTCCAGAGAGCTGCAAGTCAGAGCTTCATGCTCCCTTCCAGAGTTCTCTGCAGACTGCTCGGAAACGCTGATGTCTGCCCTGGTTATGTTATTATTCTCTTTTGAAAGCTCTTCCATTTTTTCTGAATTCCCAGGTTTCTCTAAGATCTTTTTCTGCGTGTCATCCACGCAGATATTGGTTGCAATTTCCTCATTACAGCCTTCTCGTGATGATGAAAGGCTCAGCAGCTTCCCTTCTGTAGTAGGGAGTGCTAACAGAGACTCTGCTGAACTGTCACTTTGCTGTTCTTTGAAGTTTAGCTCACTTTTTGTTTGTTTGGATTTAATTGCAGAGATCTCTTTCTTCAGCTTCTCAGAACTGAAGTGTGATAAGTTTCCAGTTCTCTGCTTTACATTCAAAGTCTCTGACAGGGCAAACATTCTGTCTCCATCACCCTGAAAACTTTGGTCTGGGCAGTCTTTTTCACTCACACACATATTCCCTGCAGAGCTGTTTTCTGAATTTGCTGTTTTATCTGTGCTTACCCTGGGTGAGGGACCTAAGGGTGCTGACACCTGAGGACCTGGGGGACTCTGCAAACTAGAGTTACCTTCTAAGGTGTTTTGGGATGCTACAACTTCCAGCTCGTTGTTTAGCGATCCCCCACCAGTACCCTTGTCCTTGTTGTTTCCAGGTTGCTGGCTGGGATGGCTGAGTGCAGAAATTGTAAAATCTGCTTGACAATAACCAGGCTGCTCTGTTGCATTTTGAATAGAGCTGGATTTATATGAGTCATTAGTGGGAATGACTTCCCCGTGTGCCTGTAATGGTGAAGGAGATCCTTGTGCCCCTTGACTTGTATCAGGCTTTATATTGCTTGTTTCTGGGACAGAAGCACTGTCCTCACAATTCATCTCTATATTTCCATTTTTCTGGATGACTCCCCCATCAGCAGTCAGAATATTTTCAGAGTTTTTTGCCATTAATGGCATTTTGCTTTGCATTTCTGGCGGAGATATTTGAGGATCATTTTTCTCAGAATGATCAGAAGTATGTGCTATTTCTGTATCTCTTGGCCAAGCCTGTGATATGTTAGTGGCACTTGCTGAATCCTGTGTCCCTGTGTTTCCAGCAGCAGCACAGCTTCCACCAGCATTATCCTCCCTCCTGCACACGCTGCCTGGCTGCTCATTCTTTCTGAGTTCTTTACAAAACGCGTCTCTCTGACACGCTGCTTCATGCTGCCTGGCTGAGATCAAAGAATTATCACCCTGCTCGGGCTTGCTTGAGTTTTGCTTACTGCAGCACTTCTCTTCTGCCTCGAGATGGGTTTTGTTTTGCTCCTTGCAATCTCGCAAATTAAGCGTGGTCACACCGCCGTGCCAGTGTTTGCTCACATCCTCAGCGCTGCTGTCATCCTCCTCCTGTTCCTTTGGCCTGTCAGAGCCACTCTGGGGCAGTGCTGGACCTGGCACACAAGATTGTGTGTCAGGGTTGTTTGAAACGCCCGCAGGTGTCTGTTCTGAATGATCCATCTGTGCATTTCTGTGACTTTCTGCAGCCACGTGCACCTCCGATTTACATTTACCTTTCTGAGCCAAATCTTCATCCTCCACAGAACTTTCCACTGCAGTTTGGTGCTTCTCTTGTTGAACGCCCTCATTTTGATTTCCATCCCCAGCACTGCTGTGTGCAGCTGCAGGTTCCTGCTCTGCTCCTCTGTGAGGTGCCCTGGTGATGTGACTGTTCTGTTCTGTGGTTTCCAGAGCCTGGGAGGCCTCCTTGGTTTCTCCCATGGTCCCTGACAATTCATTTGAGGCCCGGAGATCGAGTTTTAATTCTGGCATTTTTGTACTTTCTCCTGACTTGCTGGAGCTCTCAGGCTTTTCTTGACTCTCAGCTTTGGGTTCAGATTCCAGCACAGCTTCTCTAGCAAAAGCCTTTTCCCAGGACTCATCCTGCTTACTTTGCTTAATATGATTGTTCCCAGGGTGGAGGAGCAGTGAACTGTGTGCACCATCTAAACAAACCTTTTCAGTCCTGGTACAGCCTGACTGCTCCCAATTTTTGCCTTCTGCCTCAGTGTTAAAAAAATCAAAACTCCCTGGGCATTCCTCCCTGGCCAGCTGCAGTGAAGCCACCAGCTGGTTCTCCAGGCCATCAGGGGCAGCCGTTTTCTCTGTGCTCATTTGTTGTTCAGGTTCACAACCACGAGGCTGGGAATTCCCTTTGGGTGATTTAAAGTTACTGTCCAAATTCAGAGGTTTTCCCCCACCTTCTTCCCCCAGGTCACCTGTTGAAGTGTTTTCACAAAGACTGGATTTTTCAGGATCATGTTCCAAGTGGGTATTTTCCATGTCCTGGTGGTGGGTACTAACAGAGCTCAATAGCTGTCTTCCTGCCTCACTCAAGCCCTCAGGTAATTCACTGGTTTCTGACACTTGTGCATCCTCTGTTCTGATTCCATTTTTTCTTCCTGTTACATCCGCCCCCGTTTCTTTTTGATGCAGCTCTGTGGATCTGCTCAAAGAAGTACTTAATGCATATTCTTCCAGTAATATTCTTTTATCTACCACTGAATTATCTTTGGTGGGACTGATAATGCTTTCTGTTTCAGAGAGTGTGTTGCTTTCTCTAGACACATCATCAGCTTTTATGATTTCATTGCTATTGGCTTCTTTTGGGCTTACAGTTGTGACAGCTGATTTTTCTTCTTCCTCTCTCCCAAATGATAAAGGCACACTGAAACGCTCGGCACTAACAAGCTCATCCTGCTTTTGAAGCTCTCTCTGAAAAAGGGGTTTGTTTTTTTCAGGGGCTGTTTTCACTGCTTCACTCTCTGGATCTTGAGAGCCATTTCCAGGCACATATTCCCTCGAAGGCTCTTCAGGCTTTGGTACCAGGAAGAGATTTGGAGGGCTAGGAGGCAACTCTGACATTAAAGTACAGGGTTCTGATTGCTCCCTTTTGCTTCCAGATAGAGCTGGATTTGCCTCATTCCCTTTAGCTGTTGTTTCAGCCCCCATCTGTAGATTACAGATCTCAGTGAAGCCCTGAGCATTCGCAATCGCTCCAAATTTTTCACCATCTGAGCCTCCTGTTGCTGGATAATTTGGGATTAAGGTTTCCTTTTTCATTAGCAGACCCTCTCCACCATCTGTCTTCTGTCTACCTTGCTGCATTACTGCCTGCAGCTGACCTACTTCCAAAACTCCTCGCTCCTGCTCGGCCTCCTGAGCAGTAAAACAATCTCCTGCTGCTTCACCCCGGGGAAACGTGCTGCCATGTGGCTCCCTCATGCCACCCAGCTGCTCATCCAGCTGGAGTGATCCTAATTCACCCAAACTCACTGCTGTGGCTCCTTGCACTGCTGGGAGTGCAGGGCTGGGCTCCTGGCGTGGCATTCTGGGCTCATTCTCGCTGCTTTTGGTACAGGAGGCAGCAGAATTGTCCGCAGATCCAGCGTGTGCTGATCCCTCTTCTTTGTCATCCCCTGGACCAGGTGATGGCTGTGCTCTGTCGCAGGCTGAGGTGAGTGATTTGTCACTGCTGCCTGTGGCAGGTTCTTTGGGACAGCCTGGGACAGGCAGGATTCTCTCCCTTGCTTCAGCAGAGCGCTTTAAGGAATCAGAGTCTGTCTGTCCTTGCTCTTGCAAGGCAGCGTTCTGTCCCGTCCCCTCTGGACACCCCGGGCTGCAATTTGGGCTGGGTTGCTCTTCAGCACTGTGGCTACTGATGCCTTCATTACCGATGCTGCCAACAATGGAAACGTTTATTTGTTTCATGTCAATAAAGAAGCAAAGAATAAAAACCGTTCTGTGCCACTGACGTTTCAAAGCCATGCAGTGAGTGCACCGAGAAGCTGATAATCTGCTCTCAGCAGTTAAACTATCAGATGAACGGTGGTTTAAATGATTATTACTCTGTGAAGTGTGCTCCTGGTCTTACCTGAGAGCCACCGTGCTCATGGCATGCATTTTAACCACTCCAAAATCTGAGATCAGTGTGAGGAGGGGGGACACACACCTGACAGATGAAAGGAGCAACAGAGGAAAAATGTGGGGTGAAAAAATAACACTGAGAAAACACACAGCACCTCAAAGAAAGGCTTTTTGTTTCTGCTTCTAAGAGACACTTTGGCAAAGCTACACAGTAAGTGCTGTTATCTGGCTGTACTCGAGTGTGTAGCAGAAGATTAAGAAGGGCCCATCTGCTGAATGTTTTCTCCAACTAATCAGCACGGCTGATTCTCACCAAAAGGTCAGAGGGCTCACCCTGCTGAGTGTGGGATGCTGCTGTGCCACCATCCACACCCAAATGATGAGCTCATGTCATTGCGGTGTTTGATTTCAGTGCACCCAAGCTATAACCCTTGCTGTGCTCTCTATCTCCACCCATTAAAGACAGAAAAAGTGGAATCAGAGATGACTAACTGCAATAAGGAAAAGTTATTTTAAGTATTTTTCACTGTGTGGACCTCAGTTTTTTTTCCACACTGTGGTTTGTAGGTGATGAAATAGGTTAACCTTGTTCTCTCACTCATCTTCCATGCCTGGGCATGGGAATATGGAGAGATACATCTGTGTAGGATTGTACAGAGAATCAAGGAACAGGGTTTTCTTGACATGAAATAATGAATCCCAAGCAAAGCAGGACACAGAAAACACACTGCCAGGTGCTGGGTGGTCAGTGCACAAGGAGAGATGGCTCAGAGCTTTGCCACAGCTTGGCAGTGACAGGTTACATTTCAGAAATTCCAAGTCCCCTTTAGATTGGAGCTAGAAAAGATGCTTAAAACACCTCCTGTATGGCCAAGCATAGATTGGATTTTAAGTAATATCCAGAAATTTGAGAAGCCTCTCTCTGCTTCTCTGCCCGAGTTTTACACACAAAATAGGTGATGGAGAAGTGAGTCAGTGACCAGCTGTGGGGTCCCTACAGATTAGGTTTGTGTTTGTGCAAACACAGCATCTTGGGCTGTGCTACCATGCAAAAAATGCACTTCCAGGGGGGGCCAAGACCCCTTCTTATTCTGAGAACTGCCCAACAAAAAATTTCTTTAGGGACTGCTGCACCTAAAGCTGAATATGAGTCTGTCTCAGGTCCTAAAAACCTTCTTCAGAGTCATTGCAGTGGAAAACAAACTAGGCTTTAAAGAGCTTTGAAATTTGCCTGTATTAAGGCTAAGCCTAAAATGTAAGGTAAAATATAACTTACAATTCGTATATAGTGTAAACAAGTTTCAGCAATGCTTGTCATGGGTTTGAACATTTAATTCATAGCACCAATACATTTTATTTAAAGCATTTTCTAATGGTTTTGCTCAGAGGAATTTTCCTCTCCCTAGCACACTAAAAACACTTAGCATATGAAATTTACTGACACTGGGAATACCAGGGATGGCAGTAGAATATTTGGTGTCTGCCGGATCACTGACAACACGGGGCATGACAGGGCTTGAGCAAACAGCAGGGAGATGCCAGGAGGTTTTCCTCAAGCAAGGAATACACTTCATTATTGACAATAATTTTGCACTCAGGGAAGCTTAATTAGAAGAGGAGGGACAAAAACCACAACATGGAACTGGGGAGGGGGTGGAGAAGTGGGAGTTGATTGTTATTCAGGCTTTTTGCTGTGTTGCAGGTCTATCTTCTTACTGGCTAAATTGCTCATTAGCAGTTTCGTGCCCAGGGTTCTTCACTCTGGAAGTGAGCTCCTGTCACAGATACTGTGATCTGGAGGACAACAAAACTGGGTGGAGGTTGAGGGGGGAAAGCCCCTCTACCCTCTGTGAAACAGCACTGGAAGACAGAAAATTCCATCCACAGTTATAATTGCTCCTTATCATTTATCTTTAATCTCTGATTGTTTACTTATCATTAATCCCATCTGTCAACGGAGCTGGTAAATGCACGGTAACAAATCTGGGATGGAAATGTTGGTGATGTTCACTATACAGAGCATTCATCATCATATATTTGCATTTTTCAGATTTCACCTGACTCAGTTTTCTCTTAAGACTTTTACACACGTCTTCTTTGTAACATTAGGCTTCTGTTTGCAGCTATTAAATATGAAACAGTTCCAGACATGTGGTTAAATATTCTTGATGACAATATCCAAACCCATGAACTATCTACTGCCATACTAGTGTCAACTTTGTCAAGAGCCATAGAAATAAATTTGTGACTTAGAGGTTCAAGGGAGATGGCAATCCTGTGAACCGAATTCAGCATTATGAATCAATCAAAACAATTTTTCTGGTTCAATAATGCTGAATAATTCAATTCAATAATGCTGAGAAGTTGTTCATTTTACTCAGGAGCAGATGAAGGAATTGGGGCAAGTTTGTAATTAATGTATGCTGAACAGAATTAAATGAGAGTGCTGGCACAGGCTGTGACAGTGAGTTAAACTATCACTGTTAGAGTGGATCAGCACAGATTCATCATCCTGCTGCTGCAGCTCGCTCCATGTTTTATTCAGAGCACAACAGAACTGAAAGGTCTGAGTTTTCATTCAGCAGGATAGGCCCAGACTGACCTGTCTGGGTATCTCTATTTATATTTCTCCCTCTGATGGAGCTAACGAGGAAAACTATTCAGGGAACATATCCTACATCTTCATTTTCATTATTTGCAGTCTTGCTTTTCTGTCTGCAAGACATGCTGGGGTTAGACAAACATCTGTTGGGAGTGCCTTAAGCACAGTTGATCCTGCTTTAGGGCAGAAGGATGGACTGGATGACCTCTTAAGGTCACACCTAGTCCCATTATCTTCCACTCTTTTTAAAGGGAATAACACTACTGGGAAATTACACCACATGCTGAGGATAATTCCCTTGAGTAAAACCCAATCTACATTAAATCAATAATTACAGTTCAGGGAACATGTATTTTTAGACAACCCATTTAATACAATCAACATAAAGCTATGGCCCTAAAAGTTGGTATTTTAAAACACAGGAAAAGAAAGTATGGTCTCTTTTGTGGGTAATCTGACCTAGCTCAATATTATGAAGGGGAAAAATCATTCCTACTTAAAACAAAACTTGCAAATGACAAAGCATGGAAGAACATTTGAGTTCCTCATAGTTCATGTTGAGTTAAGGTCAGAGAAAGTAATTTTGCTGCAAATAATTGCTGCATGTGACAGATGATGTTAAAAAAAAAAAAGAAAATGCAGTCTTGCAAAGACATAGGTATGTCTGTAACTTGAAATATGTGTGTCCCACTGCACTCAAGAGTTACCAAAGGGAATTTTTCCGTCATCTTAGAAGTTCATCATACAGTTAAGAATTTGCAATTTCAAGGCCCTAACATACTGAGCACATGAATATTTTCCTTCCAGTTGCATCAAATAACGAGTTAAATCTTTGCATGCCTAAAATGTTTGTTTTGCATAAACAATTATTGATAATTGCTTGTTTAGAAGTGCATTGCCAATGTAGCAATTAATTTCTAATAGCTGAAGTTAACCTCTTCCACCCTCAGAAGGCAAGTTGTGGCAAGTCTGAATTTTATGGAAAAGTTTAGGAGTCCTGCCCACTTACTAAGCTGTTTATTAGGAGAGCACTGCCTGCTCTGTGTTTAGGGTGTGAAGCTGTAAAGGATGTTAAGAAATAGATGACTTTTGCTGCACATCCCATAAATACTTCCAGATTAAGAGCCATACCCAGTCTATCAACCATTAACACCTGAAGTCACAACTCCCATTCATCTGTTTTGTCATCCACAGCAAAGACAAAGGGCCAGGAGATAAAGCCAGCAGCAGCCAGACAAAATCTCTGGCATTTAATATTTACTATCTGAGTGGGAGTGTGTGTGGAAAGGGGGTTTACAGATGCCCAAACATGATAAGTGTACTGGATAAACAACAAGAAATGAAGATATCAAGAAATGAAGATAACAGAAAACTGTAGATAATTCAAAATTTCCATTTCTAATTCCTTTTCTCCCATTCTAAAACATGCAGTCATTGTTGAAAGGACAGGCAGCCCTCCCAACCCAGTCACATTTGTGAGGGGAAAACATCAAGTGCCAAAGCCTCTGGATCCCAGAGGTCACATACGGTTGCCATCCACACTGATGTAACTCTGAGCCTGAGTGATTATATTCTATTCCCAGGAGCCTGAAATCTGAGGATGAATTTAGAAAGCACCGAGGGGAACAAATGCACAGCCAGCTCTGCAGCCACAGCACATGTATAGCTGCCTCCCAAATGTTTCTGTTCTCCTTCCACTGACACATGAGATCTGTGCCTGCAGTCTGAGTTTACACATTTGGACACGGTGTGCTGGAGGATTTGAGTTAAGGAATCCTGCGTTTTAATCTGTCCCTAAGAGGTACTGAAAGTTAGTGAGGAACATGGAATTCATTTCCATATTCCCTTCCAATAACAAAACAAAACAAAGCAAGTGACAGTTTTAGAGACAGAACAATTCACTTTTTGAGCTTTTCAGTGTAAACAAGCACATGAGAAATCCATCATCGCTAAAGGGCTGCTAACAGCAGCCAGGCTCCCCCACCCTCCCTGTGCATCTAAGCTTTCAGGAAAAAGCAGGAAGCAGGAATAATGATCTATACGATCCTCTGGGGAGCTATCCTCCCCTTCTCCCCCACCCCCAGTCACTTTTCACCTCCTTGTTTCATACACAGAATAAAATGCAGGCCCTTTGCAGTAGTTTAAGTATGACCAAACTAAATTATTCTAATATGAAAGAGGTAAGCTGTACTGCTGCTGCAGCAAGCAAGCAGGGCCAGGTCTCCCATTCCATTCCAGGTGTGTCTCCTGGTCTCCATCTGAGATATTTGGAGTTCCAGCAGGAAGCAGGGCACTGCCAGAGTGTCCCACAGGATGTGTGGCAGCTCTGTCACCCCACAGTGGCTCCCACAAGATCTGTGTTCTACACTCCAGCTGGGAGAGCAGCAAGGTCATCCACAAAGAGTGCTGCATCCCCTGAACTGTTTTTGGGGTGTGTTGTCTTTTAAATTGATGAGTTATCTTTTAAATTTATGCATCTGCTTCATTCCTGAACCTGCTGGAAAAGCACCTCTGGGGTAGAGCTGTCCAGCTGGGGATTCCAGGAGAAGGGCATGGTTACACCTCTCATGGACACCACTGCAAAGCCTGAGTCTTCCACACTGTCCTGGCTCTTCAGCATTTTTATTCCACGTGGAAAGTTCACAGATTAATTGTATATTAATTACTGATTCTGTGTATTGATTACTGATGACCTCATTTTCTGCACGCAGGAGCAGCGAGTAGCAGGTAAGAAAAGATTGGGCTGAAACAATGATAAAGTTTGAGCCACAGACATTTTGAGTTCCAAAAGACAATCATTTAAAAGCAGCTTGGGAGAATTTGTGGAGGACAGAACAAAACCACCCAGAGGAAAAGGAAATGTGGTAATTTTCCACCCAGGGATCCTCCATCCGAGGGGGACAGGTCACACGCCCTCGAGACTCTCAGAGTTCACTTCAGGGTGGAAAAGATGCGTTCAAAGCAGCACAGGGGAGCGAGTTAAAAATAAACAGCTGGAATGTGGAACTTCAAAAGATTTTCCGTTTATTGTCTTTGTTTCTATTTTGGCAGGATGTAACTTAAAAGACACCCAAAACAGGCATGTGCCAGCACTCTCAGGAGCGAGGCTAAAGAAAAAGTAATTGCCTGAGCTCCCGCCCATCTATTAAATTTCCTGAAACAAGAATCCTATGAATCCTTTCAAGCTGACTCATCCATGTAACATTCATCTCCCACGAGTCAGAATTTTGCATGCTGCAGTGCAAAGCTGTTTTAGCCAGCTTGAATAGAAATATAAGTGTTCTAGGTACTCACATTTTGAAAAGGAACCCCTACAGAACTGCTCTTCTGCCATTTTTTTGAACAGTGCATTTTTAAAAATGCAAATTAGTCACAGAATAGGATCAGGGTACGATGCTAATATTAAAAAGAAAGAAAAAAAAAAAAAAAAAGCAAGACTGCACTTGCTGCAGGCAAGCCACAAATATTCCAAGCCCAAGGTAAGAGTCTCCACTGCACCATGTGGATTTTGGTACAAATGCTGTCTGTTATTGTGAAGTTGTGAAGTTCCACAGACAACTCCAGTTTGCAGCAATGTTAGTCATGATAGTTCTACTGTAAATATCAACACTTAGCATTATTCATAATTTCCTCTCTTTTCCCCCCTTTCCGTAACCTGCATACTGAATAGAATAGCAGAAAATTACAGTTTTGCTGTAACAAATCAGAATGCATCATTTTTTTTAGGTAGCTTCCTAGTTTATAAAAAAAATTATGTTTTCTTCAGTAGGACAGTGTGGTTACACACAAACAATACAGATTATGCACAATATCATCAAGAGGAACTAAGACTAGAGGATACGTGGGGTATTTGTTGACTGAAATAACAAGCAAACAAAATTCACATAAAAAATCTCACCCCGTCCAATTTTACATCATTATTCCAAATTTTGATTTTTTTTTCTAGCTATTGGAAATTACATCTATGGCTTCCCTCATTAGAGGCACTCAAAGACAGGAGAAATTCATCCAAGAAAAAGGTGTTTTATAGACCTGGTGCTCAGCAGGAGAGTGATGCTGGATTACACAAGTCATGCATCTCTAGGAAAGAAGTGGAACCTCTCATCACTTTAAACTTTATGCTTAAATACCTTTATCACTGTAAATTGACTTAGCAGTCTTAGTCTTGCTAAGACTCCATTATTTTCAGTAGATAATTAAGATTATCTACTAGTGCTAGTGGCAGTCAGAAGAAACAGAATTAATATCAAATATCCTCCTGTGTAAGAGCTCCACCCAAACTATCCCTTCCAGAAAACAAGCTGCTCTTTTTTCATAAATCCTTTTAGATTATGTCATGTGTCTGAACTTCCCTGAAATTTCCCCAGTGTGGTCAAAGATGATCTTATTTAATACCTAAATTAGGACTTCAGCTGCCACAAACTGTTGCAAATATCAATAATTTTTAAATAGACTGGACTACACTGGAATAGAATAGAATAGAATAGAATAGAATAGAATAGAATAGAATAGAATAGAATAGAATAGAATAGAATAGAATAGAATAGAATAGAATAGAATAGAATAGAATAGAATAGGACCCACTATGATCCAACTGCCTGAGCACTTCAGGGCTGACCAAAAATTAAAACAATGTTGCTCTGTCTCAGATGAGAGTTTATTAGTGCAAGCAACAAGCGTGGCAAGGTTAATAAACAGCTGGTTTATAGTTCTGCAGTAAGGCAAGAAAGCCAGTTTGGTGATCAGTGAGTAATCTGGTGGTGTGAGGTTATTTTGTTATTTTGAGGAATGACACATCATCATCATCACCATCATCCATCAGGATGACAGATCTCACCCCCAGCTATCAACAGCATCAGGGCTCCAATGCTTTTCCAGGAAGAAACTTCATGTCTTACCTTGCAGGTCCTGCAGTCGAGGGGGAGAAGCTCTCAGCCAGTGGCACAGCAGCAGCAAGAGGATCTGAGGTGTCCTGACCTCCAGACTTTGCTGTGCTCTTTTTCTGAGGGCTCCTTTTTAAATTGTGGCCATTACCAGGAGGTTGGCCTAATTCTGAGTCTTGTGGAGTGTTCTAGAATGAAAAAAGAGAAAAATTTAAATAGCTGCTGAAATTTTGGGGAATACATAAGCTTAAGGAGTTTTTTCTGCCCACAGACAGACAACGTCTCTGGTGGATTTCCCTGCTTTGATGGAACTTGCAGGTTCTAAAGCCAAGACATTTTTTTTTCTTAACAGCAGGAAAACAGAAGGAAGTTGTTGGGCCAAAAATAAGTGCTAGGAAAAGAAGAGGGAGAGAAGAATGCAACAATTGTTCTAAAGCAGCCAGGGCTTTTACTGACCCAAGGAGGGTATCATCTTCTCTTCTTCCAAGCCTGGAAAATACTTTCCTTGCTGAGCAAAATTAAAATGAGAAAGGATAGAAACAGGCTACTCATAATATTAGTGGCATATTTGGAGTTAAGTTAGAGATAATGCCAATGTCATTCAAGACCCAGCACTTGAATCCAAGTCCAGATTCCTTCCCTCCCACTTCAACAAAGCTCAGAATGCCTCTGAATTGAAACAGAGGGCTCGATTCTTCACCAGGCTGCCCCTGTCTGATAACGGCGACAGGAAATGCTGTAGTTTCTCTAGTGACAGCTAGAAATGCTATTCCACAACTCTGGCTATGCTGCATCACCTCTTCTCAACGGGAAATAGTTACCAGGGATCTCCATCCATGGAGATATGCCTTACATTAGTGGATTTTTTTGTTTTATTTTTATTGCAAATTATTGGTTTTGCTGCAGGGAGGAAGAGGCTCCTGGGCAAGCATGAGGGTTACACCAGGTAGTGAGTGGCACCTTCTTACTGATTTTGTTTTGAGGAAGTATCTTTAGAAAATGAAGAAGAACTGGAAAAAGCTGTCCTGAACGGTAGCTGAGGATGTTCTTTGAGCATAGCAAAAGAACTGGAATAATGGAGAGAAACAATCAAGTGAAAAGCAAAGAAAGTCTGAATGAAGGCTTTTTCCAAATCCTCTGCTCACATCAAACAATAGCTAACAAGAAGGAAAGCTGCTCCACCAAATCACCCTTACCATAAAATCACTGTTGTTTTAATTCTTAATTCTAGTTGTGAGAAGCCTAAGGCACACTTAACCTAAAGACACAGAAATGTATTTCCTGATGGCAGAACCACTGCAGGGTAACACCAGAGATTAAAAGCACAGTACACAATTCTAGCTCATCTCTTGGGCTTTTTTGCACTGATTTTAAGGTTTATTTTGTTCTAGCAGTAGTCAGTAAATTGCAGAGAGCTGCTGTTGAGAGAATTACTCTGCTCTGTGTGAACGTGGTGTGCCAAAAGCTGCTGGAGCTCTGAGCCAGCAATGAGACACCCAGCGGACAGGCAAAGCCACTGAAAAGGTCAGGGCATGCTGAAAATACAAAAATACTTCCCTTATACTTAAGATAAATTTGATTAACTCTCATATCCTCTGCCTTTCCCTGGAGGAGCCCCTTCACTGAAGCTTTGTTCTCCTTTATCTCACCACGTTCTGCTGGGAGAGACCCAGAGCTCTTGGTTTCATGATCATGAAGCACTTACCCAGCATGTGCTGACATCTGGCATTTAGAGTATTTATCTAAGTATATATGTTGGCTGCAAACCCAGAGTATATGGCAAAAATAAAAAATACTAGAACATCAAGAATTATACATGGAAATTTGTTTCTTTCAGCCAGGGGAAAAAAAAAATAGAGCTGAGTGAGTTTACAGGGCTCTGTTCTGATTTTGATGCAGAGTTCTGGGCAGTCTTGCTTTTCTTTGCATGAGAAATCTGCGTGGAGAGTTTATTTCAGTATGCAGAAAGAAAGAGCTATGAAAAAATATGTTATTAAATGAATTACCAGGAGAAACCCCCAATCAGGGGTGGGTAAATTCCCACCAAGCCAGGTGAGGCAGCCACAGTGCCATGCTCTTACTCAGTCCCTGTATCATGTCTCATCTTGAGAGGTACAGGTGGGTCAGATGCTGAGCTGGGCCACAAACAAATGCCTCACAGTAGCAGCTAAATTAAAAGATCATTTTCAGGCCCCTTGCAGACAGAAATGACCTCCTTTACTTTCCCAGCAGGGCAGGCAGAACCACACAGAGAACCCCAAGAAATTAGTCCAATTTATTAAATTGTCCAGATGCCTCCAGCAGTTGGCAAGAGCAGTGAGAACTAATTATTCATTTTTCCTCCTTTCTACTACTACCACCTCAAATTTTCTCCAGCTGCTTTGGGTGCCAGGCAGGAGGAACACCTCACATCTCTCCTGAGATGAAGAGCTGCATGTTTGGAAACTTTGAAATCTTAACATGAGGGCAGGATAATTTATCACTGACTCCCTGGGTCACAGAGCACTCTGGGGCAGAATAATTTGGTAGAATTAATAATTTGATGTTGCTATTCATCTCCAGAAGTCACCAGTGAAGTGCAGAATATGGACATTTATGTGCCTGCTATACCTGAACATCCCATCTCATCAAAATTAGGATGTTTCCATATTAGACACAGAGAAGGAGCCATGTCCCAGTGATTTTATTAGCTATTACACCAAATTTGGACTTTATATCCAAACAAAAACACTGGGAGGGGCAGATTCAGCAGAAGAGAGAAAAAATCACAACAAACCAGGTCAGTTATGTGCACACATTTGAAGCCTAAATTCAACATTTAACATTTTCCATAGATTATTTGAGGTCAGGGAACTGGTGTTTTCTTTGGGCTTTTTTTTGTTGTTTTTTGGGTTTTTTTTTAGGTTGATTGGTTTTGACTTTTTTTTTTTTGTTTGTTTTGTTTTTAAATATCTTTGTGCTTTCAGGGAACTAATGTTTAACAAGTTATTGTTCATCTCCAAACCATCCCCTAAGTGATTGACTTTGGCCACAGAAAAATCTGACTCTTGTTCTTGCAGTTCATTTCCAAATTTCACATGTATTAAAACAATCTCAGCAGCACAGGCCCTGTTGGAGCAGAGGGGTTTGAACTGTGGGCACTCTTTATTTCTTTCTTTCCAGGCTGTCAGATGTTTGAGTGATCAAAAAGCTGCCCTAATACCTAGTAAGGCAAAAGCGCACAAATATGTTCAAAAGAAGCTCAAAAGAGTCTTTTAGCAATAATCTAAAATAAATCTTAATGTAGATATTTACATGCAAAATGAAATACTAATATGCCAAGATATAGAAAATCTTTATATACTGGTTTTCTGCATTTAATGTATTCATGTAATCATCACAAAAGAACATGCTTTGTGAATCTAAGCCAGACAGCAGAAAAACATAATTCAATTTTTTGATTAAATTTTTAAAATTTAAGATAGTTATGCAACTCAGGTGCTGAACTAGCTTTGCAAAGCAAGCTTTTTAAATTTTTAATTAACATGTGAAAATAATTATAAAGACTATGTTTTGTTCACAAGTACCGTCAGAAAGCTGCAGTTAAATAAATTACTTTTGAATTTCAATACATACAGCCTCTGAAGTGATTGACTACAGAGGCTTGCAGCTAAATTTGTTCTATATTTGTTTCAAGTGTAGCATACTCCTATGTGAAAAGGATTCTTATTATAAAGAGCTAGTTAAATCTTAAGGATGACTTAAATAATTATAATAAAAACCAGAACACAGAAGTTCTCATCATTTTTAAGTCTAGGCTAATTAAAAAAAAAAGCAACAACAAACCAACCAGCTTTGTTACAGAGAGCATACAAACAACAGGAGGAAAACTAAACAGGTCATAATTATTTCCCCTTAAAGGCAGCACAAAATTTAAATTAATACAACTGATTCTCCTGAAATATGCAATATAATTTGCATTAAACCCTTCCAAAAGCACTGGAGTCTGCAAGAACACAAAGTCAGTCAACAGGATCACTTTCTTTTCCCAATGACTTTGAACAGAATGCTAAAAAATAATAAAAAAAATTTAAAAAAAGAGAATTCCATTAACACTGTAGCCAAAAGGATTATGTGCACTGCTGCACTGGAGTTATCACAGCAGAAAGAAATGCCTTTCATGCTGCCTGGGAGTCTGTGGAGAGCCCAGTTCAGAGCCAGCTCCTGGCGTTCCCACCCAGCCCCTCGGAAAGGTGAGCCTGGCCTGACTCCCCTTCCTCCTCTCTCTCCCTAAAAGCTGCTTCCTCTCCCCCTGCCACATTCCCCCATGGACCACATCCTTCTGTAGCAGCTGCTGGAACATGCCCGTGTTGGAATCCTGGATGCTGAGAATTTTCAACTTTCTGTGCTGAAAGCACAGACCCACTAGAGAACTCTGCATTTGGCCTGAGATGTGGAGAAGATGTTAAAAATTGATTTATAGCACTGGGATTACTGGGTGTGCAGTTGGTTAGAAGTGTGTAGTATCACAGGGTGGAAAACTGAGAGTTAGGGGTTTTAGAATATATAAATAAATATGAAGCAAGATGGAGGTTTTGGGGTGGAGATGTTAGAATTCAGGAACATACATAATCACAGGATATGATTATCTGCAGGTGCTTTTATTGAGAGCTCTGGGAATCAGGGGTCCAAACCCAAATCTGACTCCGACATGGCTTTCGAGCTGAACGTATTTTATATTCTATCGTTATTTAACTTACATATTAATTATTAAACTTATATTTTTCTATTGTATACATTGACATGAGTTTCTCATGATCTTTCTTAGGCCCCTGACCACAGTTTCCCATGATTATTCTTACGATTAAACAGTAATTATATTTAATTACTAAACAATCATCACATCTAAAAATTACATAATTTATCATGTACTAGCTACACGGGTGCAGTTCTAGCAAGGTACCAGGCCTTCATGTACCCAGGGTATTTATTTTTTCCAGGGCCTACTAAGCTGAATTTTCCTTTTAACCCTAAATCCCCATGATTTTAAAACCCTTTTGCTATCAGAGACAGATTGTTGCTCTTGACCTTCTTCTTCCTTCTTCTCCATGGGTTTGGGTGATGCTTTGTGACCGGATAGAAAAGTCCTCATTGTGGGCTTCGAGGGATCAGTTATTGGGTTAAAAGGGAAAATAATCTAGCTGTCCTT